GGGGGGGAAGTACAGACACCGAGGCCAAGTAGAGCCAAGCGCCAGGCGCAAGATTCAGGCGCGCGGTCGAAAGGTTCAGGACGAAGATCAGGGAAGAAGCGTCAGGCGAGGGTGAAGGCCAGACGTTCTTTGGCTCTACTACAACCGCAGTTGCAGCAGAGGATTGCAGATATGGACGGGAGGGTGTTTCCAGAGGAAAAGTGGCAAAAGATTCTCGGTGCCCCGGCAACGGCGTCAGAGAAGATGCAGGAGTTTATCCTGTACTTCGTCAAGAAGGACAAGACGACGAAGAGATCGACCAAAAATAAGATCTTCTCCATCCCGGCTTTAAACACAGAGAACAAGTCGACGAGGAGCAAGGGGAGGTCGTCAAAGCTGAAGGATACAGTTGGCAACGCCTACGTGGGGGGGCAAGAGTGAAGGCGGTGGCCCTGAACATCTGGGACATGGTCGAAGGGGCGGGGTCGATGTCCGAGGAACAAGTGGTGGACATGGTGACGAGGGTAGGAGCATCGACGCCAGTTAGCATGGCAAATGCTACCGGAGGTGAGGGATATCTCAATAGGCTCATAATGGGGGGAGAGAGGAGGGGGTAGGGGGGGAGGGAGAGAGGTTGTGATAGAGAAAGAGGGCACCCATTTTATTTTTGCATTACTATAACCACTTGACCCACGAATCGATAGCGGTGTATCGTTACCACGACAGCAGATTGACGACAAAAAGATGTTTGCGTTGTTGCAATCCCGAAGCTAACGGTGCGGATCGACCGTTGTCGGTGTTCTTCAGCTCCGGCTATCGGAACGGTGATAGTACGTTGCTTGCACCATGAGACTATTTCCATAGGACCAATCATACATATGCGTCCCTGCACCGCGTGGTTCTGTCTTTTTTTTTTCTGCTCATTTTCCAGAACTACCTTCTACGTGTAGCGATATTCTAAGGTACTGATCAGAGCCCCTACTTTTTATTTTTCGGTGAAAACTACCACTTACAAAACTGCGAAGCAACCCACCAACCCCTCGCACCGCCAACGCCACCCTCCCCCCCCCTGCCCAATCCCTTCCCCCATGTCCATCGCGTGTGCTGACCAAATAACGATACAGGGGCTAAACATGCCAACAAATCCGCAGGCCCGACGAAGTGACTCCAACATCACAGCTCCGACGCCGTCGCCGACGAGCCGTTTTACACCGTGCATGCCCACGGAGTGGATCTGCCTGTGTCAATACACCAAGGGCTGAGGCAACGGGACTTGGAGGGTGGGGCAGAGGGGGTTTTCAACTACTTCGTGAGCGAGTTGGATTCGAGGTGGCGGATGGGAGCGGATCTGCTCCTGGTGCGCTACGACCGTGCTCCACTTGTCCCCGCAATCAAAGGACGCGCGCAGTCGGGAAGGACGGACAAGATCGGGGGATGCGCTCTCTCGTTCGACCCGACATCGACGGACGCCATCCCCCCGTCGCAATACCAGTCATGGCTTCGTGACAACCAGAAGGCAGCGCGAGATGGTATCGCCGCGCACCTCGCCATGGACATACTCGACGACAAGAGGTGGACTGGAGACTGCACTCCCAACGGAGTCGTGGCATTTCACGGTGTCGGAGGTGAGGCTGGTTTGAGAACATCTGATGCCGCTAACCCCGCGGTCAGCTCCGGGGGGGGCGTACAGGGAGGACCGGCCACGTCACCAGAGATACCGGCGCCGGCCGGCAGCGTCGAAAACAGCACCGTGCACTCTGGCGGGGACGGGACCGAGGAGGGTGGAGTGCCAACGGTTGCGGAAGAGGACCCTCTTCTTCACTACCGAAGGGGCGCGGACCGTTCGGTACAACGAGAACGTGGCCCCAACATCGGCGAGGCCGAGCTGTCTCTCGTCCACTTCATCGTGTGGGCCAAAAAGTACTGGGGACGGAATTTCGAAAACTGGCTGGTTACTTCGGTGGCCACGGACCAATGGATGATCATTTTGCTGGCGATGAGGACGGGGTTCCTGATGAAGAGGGGGCGGTTGAAGTGACTGTGCAGAAGGTTGTGGGTGGTGACCCGAAGTACATATGGGTAAACAGGGTGTTCGCCGCCATCAGCGGCCTCAGGGACGGCAACGAATCTGCTTGGCCCACGACGGACTCCGGTTTCTAGGGTTGGATTCCCGACGACGACGAGAAGGTGCACCTTTTTGTCCTTGTGTACCTGCTTGCTGGTTGCGACTTCCTGTCTGCCATAACGGGTCTACCTTTCGGGACCATGTGGGCTCTTGCTCTGTGAAGAGCGTGCGGACGGAGGGTGTGTTTCGGACGTCTATCTTCGTGCGTGAGGGTGGTGTATGGGGCGTCAAGATCGACGAGTGCATCAAGTTGTTGGCGACCATATTCTACCTTAAGTATGACGCTGTCTTTGCTCGTGTGGACAGGAACCCGGCTGGATTCTCCGTATGGTCGACGGCGATGTTGCACATTACGTCGACGTCATCCGGTTGCTTATCCTCAGGCGTGGTTCAAAGAGGGCTACGTCAACGTGCCCTGCGTTCGAGTCTATGCGCCAGCAGAGCGAGCGAGGCCGTCAGGTGCTTGGGTACTGGCAAGACGGCTGTTTAGAGGTGGTACCAGTACGAGACTTCAACGGCAAGGGATGGGGGATCGACCCGAAAGGGGGGGGGACTAGCCCGGGGCACATGACAGCGGAAAACTGCGTGCTATGGCTGTCTCAGTATTCTTACGTTGGCTCCGACAACAAGACGCAAACGGAGAAATGCGGGTGCAAACCGGCCCCGGGTAAGATCAGTCTCTGCGTGAGGTGCGGCTGTCGAAAGGCGGGAAGGAAATGCTCGCTGGCATGCGTGTGCAGGGCTACCTGTGAACTGATTCGAGCATCGGAACCTGAGGCTCGGATCGCTGCTGCTACATCCAGCGTTCCTGCTGCGTCCACTGTTCCTGCTACACGTTCCGTTCCTGCTACAGCTTCCAGCTTCCGTACCTGCTACAGCTTCCGTTCCTGCAACATCTGCCATCGTAGCCGGAGCCCTGCGTTCTCTTTTGGCGGCAAGAGCCGCGAGTCAGCACGCGGCCGCACAGGCAGCCGGTAGGCAGCAGGCAGCCGCTAGTCAGCAGGCAGCTGCGCCGGATGATTCGAAAGGGACCGAAGCGAAGGAGGAGGGGGGGGAAGACGAGGAGGAGGAGGAGAGGGAAAACGAAGCGCGGGATGAAATTCCCGAGTGGGAGTCCGATGCGTCCGACTACAGCGATACTTTCAGCGACTGGGGATCAGACATGTCGGATGGCGGGCCGGATGTAGGGTGGGGGGACGCGGAGGGAGTCGAAGGTCCATGGGGGGCGACGGGAGCTGACTGGTTCTGAGGGCTCAACGGCCATCTGGAGGTGTGTATCTGGTTCCGTGCGTATTTACCAACTTCTCGACCATAACCTGGGGGTGGGGCATGGACTGGGGAGTTTGTAGTCCGATTTCATTATGTTAGCACGCACTACGGTGCTTGGAACCCCGACCTAAATCCTACCCAGGTGACCTTTGTCCACACAAACCAACCCCCTTGTTTACCGCGTGTACTTCCGTTGTTTGTCTTTGCCGCTTTTGCTTGCGTGTGGCTAAATCGTGGCAGTGACGACGACAGGTTCCTCCGTGCGAAATAGCTCATGGTGGAGAAGGAGGAGACCTTGAAGTATAGGGTGTCGGGAGAGGGTATGCTCGTGTGGGGTGGGTGGAAACCGCACGAGCTGGATAGATAGGTGGCACCTCCACCGTTAGCCCTCTTTGCTGTGATCCTTGCCTTTGTTTCATTCGTTAAAGTTCGGCTCATCTGGGCGCCTGTGGTGTACAAGTGTGTGTGTGTGTGTGCAGGTTTTTCGTGTAGTCCCTGTGGTCAAGAACCTGCTGTATTTTTTGGAGGGGAGGACTGCTGTCTACAGTAGTTCGACCTTTTTACCAGCGTGTGAAGTGCTGGAGTTAGTTTAGTATGTTTTTTTTGTTGTTGTCAGTTTTGGCGCCGCCGACTCATGTACATAGTGATTTGACCGTATATACCATCGGGCCGACGTTAGGAGCAGTCTTGCTTGTACATTTGGTTAAATATTGCTCGACCCAAGGCAAATAAAGCGTTGGACAAAAAACGGCCTTTCTTCTACGGCAACGTCGTACGTGTGCTGAATCAGAGGTGGAAGTCTCGTTCCACCCTGTCCCATTCACACGTACGTGATGCTCTCCATCGACAGCACGGGACCTCGCCCTGCCACATTTTTATGCGAAAAAATGCTTGCGCCCTGCGGGCGATATGCCCACAACTAACATTGGAAGTACTTCGTACTTTTCAGGGAAAAGAAGTGATCACGGACGGGTTCCTTTGTCCCCAGGGATCAGAAATCACCTTTCCCTAATATTTTTTGGTCTCTTACTCAAACCAGAACGCGGTAAAAAAAATAATGATCGCGAAAGTGGCGTGATGAACGGGCTCTTTTTTTGGTTATCGAGCAGTTTCGCGGTGCAACACCACCACCGTACAGCAATTGGGTTCCAGTTCAAAAGGGTGCGCGCCGATTACGCGTACTCAATCTATATGGCATAATACAACCTAGTTCAAAGTGCTATGCATCCGCACAAGAGGCAGCTACAAGATGCGATACATCCTGAGGTAAACAGCTTGAGACACCTAAGCATGACGCCACCGCGTGGATGCCATTTTCAGCTAAATCTGTCCTCCCCGCGCCTACGCGCAACAAATCACTACAAGAGTCTGTCATCTTGCTCTCTACCCAGCAGTTCGCCTTCGTGCCAAGTTTTGTGCCACTTGGCAACGTATGCAGCGCGTTCTCATATTCACCACGGATGTGTCGTCGGCTCGCTCGAGGTTCCGCCGCGTCCTTGAGGGCTCGTATGCGTATGCTTTTCCATTTTATTTTTGGGCCGACTTGAGGTCTTTCACTGCTGAGTTCTAGCGCTGTGGTGTATGGAATTTCATACTACTTGGGTCCGTCGCTAGCTATTGGAGACATTTACAGCCATCGTGCTTCATCTTGGAAGGGTGGCTCTGCTGTTTGCGTGTAAAGCACCGTAGAGTGCGAATTGGCACTTACCACCTATTTTTTTTGCTACGCGCAGTACTGGTACATCCAGTATCCACAAATCGGAACCTGGGACGATTGTTGTTGTTGTTGTTGTTATTGTTGTTGTCTTCACATTCAAAGCCGTCCCGATCTCTCTCTACCCAGTACCTTCGTATATCCGTACTGATACAACACTCGACGCGGTCGATTCCCGTGGTCGCAGGCTAACTTACCCTAAAAAGGTACACTCAAATAAAATGGCCCCGAGGGGTCCGCAAGTCACTAGAAATCGATATTCTGGAGTCCTCCACTCCCTCTGCGCGCTATGCGAGGTAACAACTGAGACTAGGGATCACCATGACGGGCCGGAGAGAATGAGGTGCACCCCCTTGGTTCAATCTTGGTACTTCACAACGCAAGCAGAAACAAGGCCATCTGGCACAGAAAAAGAGAGCACAACAAGAGAAAACGAGAAAAATGGGTAGGGATGATTTTTTGAAATGCGACACCGCTGATTGGGCGAAACCATCCCATTTGAACTAGGCCTGTCCTCCATCGGCCGTTTTATTTTCGATTTAGATACACAAACTTTATTTCAATACTAGTTTCAAGTAATTCCACATCCTTATTCTCCGTAATACAAGCAAAACGGCCGAGACTGATTGGGAGTTTGAATGCGGGTTTGAAGTTTGAAATGCGGCACTCGGAATTTTTAGGACAGGAGGAGTTGTAAAGACGGCGCGCGCACTTCATTATGCTGAGAACCAACGCGCGCGCCGGCAGCACAAACACGCATATCACGTGCCTGCCGGCGTATGTCGCGTGGACAGACGCCGCGATGTGGTGAGATGCGGAGCAGGGGGCATGAAGCCACCTGGGTGGGGCTGGGCTGCTACGGTGGTGGCGTGAACCTCCTGCTTGAAGCAAGCGTCCTCATCATCAACCAGAGCGCCGGTTGTGGTTGCATCATCATGATGACCGACCACGAAGCAACGGACATGGGATAAGGGCGTCTTGGCGACGGCTGGCTGTGTAGCACACGTTGCTGAGCACTGGTGGTGGTAAAGCTAGGAGGAGAAGCAGAGGTAGCAGCGGTCACCCCGTTTCGGCTTTTTCAGGTGAATGTGTTGGTGCTACAAAGCAGGTGTACAGCAACAGCAGTGAGTTGCAGCGCTTAGCCTTCGCGGGGTGTATCGTATCGTGTGCGTGCCTCTCTGCACGCTGCTTAGCACGCCATTGATGTGACGGCTGCTGCTGTACTGCTGTAGTGTGCGTACATAACGGGTACCGAACGTTTCTTTATTGACAGATCAACAGGTGCTGTCCTGCAAAATAAACGTCGTCACGCAGCAAATCGGTCTTGTCTCGCAAGCATTTCACCACAGCAGCAACTTGACAGCAGTGTACCAGGTAGAGTCGATTACCGTCAGCAGTGCCAGCCCGGTCGTACGAGCTTGGGCGAGTTAAAGCGCCTTGCCGCAGCCATGTGAGCTGTGTATCACATCCTCTTATCTCAATTTTTTCAGCTTGTACTGCGAAGACAGCACAACAGATAGAGTTCATGCCGACCCCCTTTAAACACAACGTCTAAATCTACCTCAGAAGGCATCAAAGACCGTCTGCAAGCACCTTGCAGTAGGTTGCCGTTCCCAAATGAGAACCCCCCCGATATATCGTATTTATCCTCATCCTCGGTCGCTGTTTCAAACGTTGAGAATCCGCGCATGTTTCCGTGTCGGGGTGCTGCTCATCGCAGCCGTCGATCCGCTCGATCAACGGCTTATCTCCCACGGATGCTTTCGCCTCGTCTACACTGGTCGCATCTAGAGGCAACGTCACGCTATTAGTCCTTTGATGGGACGTCAATGCCACGCCGTATGCATACATCGTCGTACATGTGGCTGTTCAGGGCAGCCGCCTGATTGATCTGCCCCAATAACCACCCCTGAACCAAGCCTCAAGAACATTAACACAACCAAACACAAAGCGCAATCTAGCTCGCAGAGGGGGACCCCCGGCGACGAAATCCGTCTGGAAGCTGCATCGCTACATTCATCAAGCTGTGACTAGTGGTCGAAGGCCGTTTCTTCCCACGTCCAACCTCAAATTCTTTCTTTTGTAGCAACTGTATCCACGCAGTCCCTCCCGAGGAACTGGAGATCTGTAAAGGTCTGCTTGCTGTACATCGGCAACCTTGTCGTGGTTCTTTCTTTTTTGTCAACGTTGAACTGCAACCTGTAGCAGTTTTTTTTTTTTTCCCATCATTGGACTCTGTCGTCTGCCCCTCTGGCCCCTATCCTCCACTTCTACCAGCTAGACGACCCAACCGGGGTCACATCGGAGGGGGGGGCTGGACCCCCTCCTGCGGTTCCTGCCTGAGGTATTTTTATCGCGAGAAGGGTACAGCAATCCCTTCCCTCGCTACGTACGAAGTCGATCATGGTTTACTAACAAGCTTTGCAGCGCGTCGCTTCATTCTAGACCAGGATTTACTTGGGGAGAAAAAGCTCACCCTGCCGGGACTCGAACCCATGACCTGGCCCTTAGCAGGCTGCGAGGTTGTTTGTTCTTTCCTCCTGGGTACCGCAGTTTTATGCACATACCGCGAGTGTATTTCGTACTCGTGCAAAAGTAGTTTCAGGGTTTATCATCGGTAACGCTCGTTGAGGCGGGTCAATGCAGTTGCTGACGCTTTCCCTCCTGTATGTTCTTCGTGCCCCTCTCCTCCCCTTGCTCTATCCGTGCATCAAGTAGTCTCGCTCAGCATCCTGACGGCACCGCGGCGCTGGCGGGAAGCCGGTCGCGACTCGAGCCTCACTTGACAAGCCGGTTCAACTTTAGGTGGGTCGTATGCATAGAGCAGCCACAGGGGGTTTCATGCAGTCCAGATTGCGATACAACTCTACGGATGAGCGTGATATTGTTGAGGGATACACTTGCATGTGTGCTGCTGGGAGAGGCATTTGTGCTACTCAAGTGTTTGTAGAGTTTCTGCACATGTGTTTACGACGCATTTCGATGGCACAACGACCGGACACACTTTTTCCAACTGTCCGCGGTCCAAACATGGCACTACAAAGGGCCGTAGAGAAGTTCGACGCATGGGTATGTTCACTTTTGCCTTTTGGCCTCTGATTAAAATGCTGAATCGCAAAGCACATGGTGTTCTCACTTTGGATGACAGGTATCTATACAACCGAGGGCTGGACACCAAGACGGGTTCGAAGGCTGATTCGGCGGTTCCTCTCCGTCGAACATCTACCCAACCTATGGGGCGCCAGGGCGGTGCTTGAAGACGTGGTGTCAATCCTGCGTGATGTAACGGCGATTCAATGCGAACCTCTTGGTGATCATTGGCAGCCATCTTGCATCGCTGCGGAGAACTGTAGTGACGACCGGAAGATGTAACCGCTTGGCTTACGCACAGGCACATTCGGAGATCTAGGGTTCGTTTTCCATGCTTATTCGTTGCTACTTCAGCGAGCGCCTATTCGGCGAGCAACTGCTGTTGAGGCCCGTTGGAACTTGGAAACGCCTTGTGTATAGGTTACAGCGGTAGCAGCCGGTGAGTGGGGTAGTGAGTAGGGGCGGTTTGGTGGGGACGGGGGCGTCCATGCCGAATGCGAAGGTGGGGATGAGGGGATAGAAGTACCATCCGTGCTATGGAGGCTGGACAAGTGTCATTTTTCGGGGGGTCGTGCAAACCTTGTGGCCACCACAACAGCAGTAGGAGTGCCTGGCAACAGTACGTAAGTCCGTAGCAGTAATGGGAGAGAACTACATCATATTGGCAAACTGTGCTGCCGCTGAAGTTCCAGTTTTTGTTTCCAAACCGGTTTTCGGGGTAAATGGCAACGGCCGATGGTAGCCCTGATCGGGGTTGTGGTGCAGGTGTTCTGTAGCAGAACCAACCTACAGAGACGTGATGCTGCCGTGTTTTTCGTAGAGATATGAATGTAGCAGAACACATGGCTTGAAAAAAAAGTACTAATGTACACGCATCGGTCCTTCTCGTAAGATGCCTGATGTAGAGGAAAAAACTACGTTGAAATTGAACTCGATTTGAAAGAGATCTGTACACGTACAACAGACATGTGCAAGAAAAAAAATAGGTGGTACCTTCCGCACAATCGTAAAGCCTCTCAATAAGTGCACTCCCTCGCCCGCAATTCCATGTACATTCCGTTGTACATGCATCAGTTCTCCTCGCAAAGTGCCAGGGAGTGCAGAGGAAAAAATGATTTTGAAATCGAGCTCAATTTGAGCGCGATGACCGTCAAAATAACCAGGCACAAGAACGAAAAAAAAAGTAGCATCAGCCCAAACGCCTCTTCGCATATTTTTCGCGCTTCGCGCGAAAATCAATATAACTCGTTCCTAGGTTACACTACCCACATGTTCGCTGAGCCCGCAAATCCACAACCCAATGGATCCGCCAAACACACGCTATCGCACATCGTGTGCAACATGGTGCATATCTGCGACCCAACAAAGGGAACTGCGATCCGCGCAGAGCCGATTACGGCAAATTTAAGTGCTTCATGCCCAGAACGGCAAAATGCTACCAGTTCATGTTTGCCCGGAAATCCGCCGTGCACGTTCAAGCCCCCACCAAATAGCGAACTGCGCATCCGCACGGACTCGTCTAAACAAAACCAGTAATGTTTCGTGCCCAGAACGGCAACATGCCAGCAGTTCATCTTTTTGCCCAGAAGAACTTCGCACGTCGAATAACCCAAAAGATCATGCTGCTGCGGAACACAAACAAACGCTGCCCATCAGGAAGCAGGTAAAGTATAGCAGTTCGGTTCTTTGTGACCCATGATAGCACTGCTGTTGGCATGTGCAGTGAGTGGTGTTTGCCCGTACAAGTCAATGGTCTGATGTGAAGAGATCACGCCTGACAGCTGTTGTTTGTTATTGTGAGAATCTGGGCAACAGCAAACATATACTTATGTGCACGTACAAAATGTATGTGGATCTCGAAGGAACCAGCACTACTCCTTGTTGCTGGGTCTGTCTGGCTGCCGCGCAAAAGGAAGACTCGGCGCATGATGCCCAGGGTATTATCAGCGTCGTTCGTTCGTTTTAGTAACACCTTCATCAGTGCAAGCACAACGCTTCGCCAGACCCACAAAATTCGTAACAATGAAAGTCTATCCCAACACATGCACGACCACAACAGTAACAGCGAAATGGTGCTGAAAGGCCTCGCCTTGCTCGACAGAAGACGACCTAGAAACACGTAACATGCGACCGACCAATCAATGTAGCCTTCGATCAAGTGCACCAATATACGCAGTGGTGTGCCGGTAGCGCCGGAGAGCCGTGAAGTTGTTTTGATAACAAAAGAACAAGATGGATATATATCAGTGTGCTGGTATGTTTGACGTCTTCGGGACCTTTGCGTCACCTGCGTGCTCGTTCGCCCGTGTGCGCGAGACAGAGCGGGATGGAAACAGGTGGTGTTGACAAGTACAACGAGTAGGACAATGGTCGGCCTTGTTGAGTGAGTGCTGCATCGACAGCGTGCCCTGCCTATGTCGCTCGCAGCACAGTCTCGTGCATCGATCCTCACAACAACTACGCGCGCCCCGACAACACGGGAAAGCAGCCTATGACACGGCATCGATGTTGCACGAAGGGCTGTGACCAGAGGCCAACTCTCTGGGAAAATAGGCATAGGCATAGGCACAGACCAGTGCACGTGCGCATAAAGCAGGCGCAACGAGAAAAGAGGATTGAAAAAAATCCATGACAGTGTGAACCACAGGTCGCAGACACCTTTTTTTTTGTGTTTGGTTTGCCGGTCCCGTCGATAACGGGGCCGGCTAACCTGGCACCGCTATACCAACGGTGCCAGACACCCCAGCAGATACCACAGAACCAGCAGCAACCGACCCTAATCCCCGCGAACGAGCGGCGATTAACCAACCGGAGCGCTAAGAAAACTATTAGCACAGCAACAGCGGCAGGACTAGTTGCGGTCAATAAGGCAAACCGTCAACTCGCGTGACCGCCATGCTGCCGCCCTAAACGGCCGAGGCAGAGAGATTCCGCCGCAGCCTGAAGGGCGACCCGTCCCCATGCTCGGTTATTAGGGACGGCTTCTCAGCCTCCAGGCCATGGTCGAGTCAGTCTAGTCGCGCTTGGGCCGGTGCCGCACAGGGGGGTCGCGGTTCCTGCGCATCTCGGCGCTGCGGGAGCGCACGATCCGCTGGTGAACCGCGGCCTCCACGCAGTAGTACTGCTTGATGTACAGCTTGGGGAGGGCGTAGTTGTCGAACACCGACGCCTCGCGGATGTCACGGAGCGAGGAAGCGTCCACAATGTTCCTGCTCGGGAGGCGCAGGGGGGGGGGGGG